AAGTGCAGAGCAGCGATTTGTAAAGCTCCTGCTCGGCGGTGCCTGGGCCTGCCTGTGCCGGTGCTGCCCAGCCCGGGCACAAACTGGTTGAGCGGGTATCGGGCGTGAGCACCGCACGCAGAGCCCTTATATAGATACGGCTCCTGGGTAAGGTCCCTCCTCGCTGCTGGGCGAACAGAAGTTTTCATTTCCGAGGATGAAAAGGGTGTGTGAGATGTGGTGGAGGTTGCTGTGCAGTGTGTGGGAGCAGCACCTGGCATGGGATCAATTCCCCAGCACCCTGAGGTGTTGGAGCCAAGGCTGGTGGTCGTGACCTTGGCTCTTGGCTTCCCGTGTAGGTGTTGGGTGGGTCTGGCTGCTCCTGCTTCACACGACTGACTTCCCTGGGCTCAGTGTGAGATCAGTGGTGATTAAGGTGTTATGCAGGTGCTCATTACACTTTTACCTTAATTATCTGGTATGGAGCCGCTGCTTTGTGGATGGTAAACCATCTGAACCTGGTGCATAAGAGGGAATTAATTTCCCCGTTTGTCCAAAGCCACTGTAGTGACTAAAAGTAGCTTTGCAATTGCTTTGGGAGATAAAGAAGGATTACTCTTCAAATTTATAGAGAGGGAATCTGACACTTTAACTTCTCTGAGGTAACACAGTGTGAGGAGCTAAGGAAGGAGCTGGAAACACCTGTGTTTGCTGCTCCTCACCCTTCTCCACATGCTGAGCAGTTGTGGCTTTTGCTGTAAGGCTGTTGCTGTTGAGCAGTCATGCACTTCTAGGGCTTGGCTCTCCATTTCTTAGTGTTTCACATGGAAGACAGGAGGAAATTAGTGCTCAGAATTCATATTTGTGAGGTTTTTTTACACCTCTTGTCTAAAGCATAGGGAATTCTTCCCAATATTCACTTGCTTTCTTCCCAGGCATTTTTCTTTTTGTGTTTTTTTTTTTTTTTAAGTTTATACATTCTAACTTCAGAGGCAAGTGTTGCAAAAAGTGTTGTCATTCTTTATATTGACCAGTACATAATGTATTTTGCACCCTGTATGAGATTGTGAATCCATAGAAAAGGTAGCATGTACTCTAATTAAAGATTGTATCAAATGGGTCATGTGTTGTAGGGCATGGGCAGGCACAGACAGATGTCATTACCTGTGGTCAAGCATTGGCATTTGAGCACTAATACCCAAGGAAGGCAGTATATATAGAGTGGTCTTGGCCAAGTTTGTTATTTGAGTTGTCTGCTAGAAGATAATACATGATGTGGTGTAAAGATTGTGTATGTGTGGGGTGTGTTACAGACAGCACTATGGATGGCATTTGATCTCCTGCAGCAGAGAATGAGGCTCTTTTTGTGGGACTTGCCAATTTTGTAGCAAGCACAACAGCTACTAAAGTGCATCATTAATGTGGATGTGGTCAGGATGCTCTCTTAATTCATGTTTGTATGTATGTCTTGGTCCTGGAGTCCTAGGGATAGGAAGACTCTGACCTCTCTGTTCCAGAGTAAAATGCTCTTTCCCACAGTGTTCTCCAAAAGGATGCTGCCAACACCAGGCAGTGACTGCAGCCACTGTTCCCCTTCCCAAACTGTAGTTCTCTGGCAGCATCTGAGCTTTGATCTGTGGGATCCTCCAGTGCTGGGAGAATTGCTAGGATGGCAGTGCAAGCAAGGCACTTCACACACTGCCCCGACCTAGCTGTAACAAACAACCCGGCATAATGGATTTTTTTTTTTTTGCATCTCTTGACTGCTAGAGGAGAGAATATTGTTAAATTGTTTCTAATTCTGCAAGCAAGGAGCAAAATTCTGTGGCACAAAAAAAATAGTAATTGCAGAGCTCAATTATATCCCTTTGCCAAAAATCAAAGGCATGAGGCAAACAATAGCTGAGAAGACACTGTAGGAATCTTTTTGTCAGGGAGAGTGTTAGGTGACCAAAATGTGGGCATTATTGCTGCTGCTGTCTATAGTAAAGGTAATGACTAAAGAGCATTTGAAGGACAAGTGGCTCAGTATTGAATCTCTTGTCTTCCTTTTTATTGCTTGGTGAGATTTGCTTAAAGTATGTGCTAGGAGGTTGAAATACTGGGCACTTTGATTTTCAGAGTAAGATGGGTTTGTTGGTTGTTTGGGTTTTTCTCCTTGTAGAAAACATGATCATGCCTAAAATAATTTAAGAGAAAAAATGATGTGCCATCCTAGACTGTATATCACAAAACCAGTTTGTGTGAAAGGAATTAATGTGTGGATTCCTTTTAAAATACTGTGTGGGCTTTTCTTCTTGATCTCATTGCTTTTGCAAGTGATTTCTCATAATCCAAAATGATTTAACCAACATGTACTTACATTCTTTTTGTACTGTACTGTTGTATCTCATATATGGACACTCAAGGTTGTTTATCCCCAAGGTTAATTCATGTGCTGCTTTTCATGTGATGTTACCATTTGCAAGTTTTGGCTTTAGTTCAGGGCAGTTTAATACACTCTCAAGGTTACTGTTTTGGTATTTAAAGTGTTGGCTTTGTCCTTAAAAAAGCAAAGTCAAACCTCTTCCCAGTAAAGTTCACTAAACAGCTGTGAAGAAAAATGTCTTGCCTTTGCATTCCAGGGCTGCAGCAGTAAAAGGAAGGTGTATCACTTGAAATGCACAGGTTAGGGAAGTAAAGCATCTGAAAGCTTTCGTGTTTATAGGACAGCTTTGTACAGTGTCACAGAGCTCCATTTGCTTTGGTGCCTGGTGTATCCATAGCACTGGAAATGCATCAGGAATCTTGATTGAACGTTAGGTAATTATTTCTAGATGTGCTAATTGAAGAAGCATGTATGTATTTAATGTAAATGAAATTGTGTATCCTGTGTGATGATACTGTATGAAGATTTATGTAGTAAAGCTTTTTAAATCTCATGAGTAAATAACCAAGGAAGTTATAATTGCATTTTATCAGTCACTCAGTGTACGTGGACCAAAACTGACAGGTGAAATTCTTAAAAAATCTTATGTCTGGCATTTACTTTTAAATGCTTTCTAAGGCTACAGAATAAAGCAAGGCTTTAAATTCTGTTCAATTCTGGACTGCTTCGATGATTGGAAAAAACATCTTATTTCCTTCTTGTGTGTTTCACCCTTGCAAGGTCCCAGTGTCAGGATTATTGAGTAGCTTGTTTGGCTTTTCTCTTTTACTTATCTTGACCACTCCTTGTGAAATCAGGTTTTTGCACCAGTTCTCTGATAGGGCATTGCAGCTTCCAGCCCTTTGTGACTGACTCCAGCTGTTGAGCAGATCCTAGAAGCAGTAATCCTCAGTTCAGATTCTACATCAATTTATACAATAATTTTTTGTTTAAGATACTGTTTCATGGAGTTTTTATAAATAACTGGACTGTACAGGTCCAGTTATTTGTAAGATGAAGCTGATCAGGAAGCTAATGCAAATTTTGGGAATGCTGACTGCATTTAGTTACTTGTATTACACACTCAGATTTAACTTTCTTGTGGACATCTACTGGTTGAGAGGGAAAATCTGGATAATATGCTTAAATACTGGAAGGAATAGTAATGCTCAGCCAAGATTATTGGAGTAATCAAAAGCAAAGTTCAGTACTGTAACTGGGTTCATTTTAATCTGCCTGTTTTAGGTCATTTTACATAATTTCTGAGTTATTTTGCTGTAATTGACTCGTGTTTGGTGTTTTCATCACAATTTGCTATATTGCTGGTGTATTTTCTGTGCCTGGAATTAGTGCATGTAGGAACATGGTATGTATTAGTTTTCCCAATGTGTTCAAGCAGCTTAACCAGTGAAAAAAGTGACTTGGGTAGTCACATTAGCCTGGGCTGGCTTTAGATAGGATATTTAGAAATACCTTTCACTGTGTCTTATCTCCACAATGATTAATGATGATGCTGTGTCACTGTGCAAAGATAAGTGGGTCTCACAAAGTGGAAATCCATCTAACCATTAAAAAAACCCCAAGATTATTGTTATGTTGTTTAAAAGACTAATGCATCTGACAGACTTTGTCATTCAAGTAGTACACTATTGTTTTTCTTTTGTGTCAAGATCCTAAAACCCTAGCACTCTCTGTGGATCTGAATGTTGTAAGAATCTTAGTAAAGTACTTCTTGTTGTAGTTGAATAGTAATCCAAATCTTTCATGTGGAATTACTTCTGGCTTTGAGTTGTCCTCTGTGTATGCACATATATAATGCATGTACATTTCAGGCTTTTTGCAGTTGTAATGAACTGATATATTCAAATGCTTGTTGGTCACATTCTTAGTTTTTGTAATTTCCTTCTTGTAGCTCTTAAATGCATTATCC